CTTCTTTAGAAGAACACATCTGTAATTATACCTGAGCTAATGTTTACATCATTGTCCCAGCAACCACCTTATTTCCAGGTCCCCTGATTTTGTCTGACAGAGTGTGCCTGGCTCAAGACCTGATTTTGCCTTGAATGAGCTCGATGCAGCCCAAGGTGAAATGCTGTGATTTGACCTGACTCTAATTGAAGTCAATATAACTTTTCTTTCTTTTAGTTTATTTAATATGCACCAGGGTAGGGTTGTCCAGGTGGTGATGATGTTTGCAGTAGTTCTGTGGCACAGGAAATAAAGAGCTAAGCCCACTGTGCTTATAGAAAACAAATTTGCCCCAGTGAGCTTGCTGTGCAGGGTAAAGGTAGCTGAAGTATGTTAAAAAAGACACTGAAAATAAGGACCTGGAGGTAAGAGCAACAAGCAAGAAACTTTGCTCTGCATGTGCATAGCAACATATTTTTTAGATTATAGAAATTATTTCTGAAAAGTATCTGGGGATTTTTAACTGGTACAAATGAAAGGCTTTTGTCTTCCCCTGCCTGCAGTTTGCCAGTCTCCAGCTTTTCACCTCCTGCTTGCACAACTTAAAACTGAGCTTTTATCTGAGGAAACAAAATTCAGTAAGAAAATATTTTTATAAAAGTGATCTGATCCCTGAGACTTGGGGGAAAACATCACAGCTGCAGTAGTTAATATAATTTAAAAGCTGATTACCCTGCATGTGGAAGAACTACTTTTCATGAGGCTTTCTACTGTGTATGGTGTGCGCCCTAATTTGTATTAATGTCTCCTAAGGAGCCATCATAGTTTATCAAGAAAGTAAAGTAATATGCATTTTAAAAACACTCTTATAAAGATTTAAATGATAAACCTTAATCACTCCAGAATGCAATATTAGCACCCTTACACTCCCAGAAGCAGTCACTCACTTCTGGCAAATTAGATAATTCAAGAAGCCATGAAAAACTTCAGCTTAGAATTGAGCTGTTGTTCAGCCACTCTCTAGGATTTATTTTATACATTAAGGGGCACTTTTTCCACTTCAGCCTTTGTATAGCAAATGGCTGTTTTGTGCACAGGAGCTTCATTATGATCCCTTCTACAGAAAACAACCTGTTAAGCTTTAAAGCTCTTTCTTTATTTTATAATGGCCTTATATCTCTGGCAATATCTCCCTGCAATTGTCTTGTTAGCCGGATGCTAAGTAAGATGTCAGTATAAACCAGTTTCATGATATCTGTGAAATATGGCTGAAAGATAACAACCTTACTGGGATGAGGTTTTTAAATCGTGATAAAAGCCAGTCAGTAGATTGATAGCTTCTGTAAAGACAACGGAAAAACTAATACTGTGGACAAGTGAGGCTAGCAACTGCTTTTCCCCCAGCAAGATGAGATCAAAGTAACTGTGAAAATGAAAATCCAAAGATCCTTAATTGTGCTGAAGATTAAGACCCCCATGATACAAGGACTTGCACGGAACAAGGAAAAATACATCCTAGGAAATAACTATGTGCTCCAAGTAAAAGGATTAACTGACTTTTCTCTGCCCTAGTCCAGAAAATTTTGCTTTAAATGTACTTTGTATTGAGACTGGTCATGTACTTGAAAATGAGTGTTTTATACTTTTTCCCCCACTGAATTCTGAAGTGATGTTTTCATGCTCTCAACCCTCCATTTTCTGGTTATTCTGTATTCGTAACTATTATTAGGTGGACAGCCTAAAATCCCATGTTTGTGTCTGACCATGAAAGGTTGCCTGCCCAAAGGAGGGAGAAAGGATTTAACTGCCCAGACCTAACATCTGCATCAGCATGCGGCAGTGTGCTGCCATAACACTGCCCAGAAGATGGTTGTGGGTTTTGTTGGTTTGGTTTTCTCTTTTTCTCTTTTCTTTTTTTTTTTTTTTTTTTTCCCTTTTATGTGGGGATGAGGCATGGGGAGGTTGGGGTTGGTTGGGTTGGTTGTTTTTCTTTTTTTTGGTTTATTCTTAGGCTTGCTTCCCCTGTGGGCTTCTTGTGCTCTTGTGGTTTTACACCCTCCCTGCAACTTCAGATAAAGCCCTCTACAGCACGGTTTTGGGTGCGGGGCTGCAAATATTTGCATATTCCACTGCTACCTAGAGAGAATTAATGAGAACTGAACAGGTTTTAAGTGCACTATACGTTTTAGACACAGATACCAGAGGGTCTTAGTCAGCTGGAGCAGACTCTGATAGCTAACAGCTGGTGAGGCAAATTGTTCTGAAAGATTAAAAGCCTTAACTTGAGTGGCACTGTAAATGTCTACACAACTTTACAGAGCATGTGCTGCAAAAGATCAGCTGTTCACTGTGGTCAAGGGAAAGATGTAATGAGGGAAAATGGGACTGAAGCAGAGAAGGATAATTTTACCTAGGTGATAATGCTCTTTACCTGTGTCTCCTTATGACAGGACAGTGCAGGAAAATGCATGCAAAAGTGAATTACAGCTGAGTGAGGCAAAGTAACAGCTGGCAGAAGACTGCGCTGGTTCTGTCAGAATGTTGACCAGTGAGTGCCCGGCAGTAGGTGTATGGCTTGCATTACCCAAAAGTCATTATCTGCTGGACTGCAGAGGAGTTCCTATGGCAAAATCACATAGAGCTAGTTAGTGTGGAAGTGATTAGTATAGTACACTTATTGCTTCTCACCTGGGCTACATCACAAATGGGCCAGCTCAATGATGTGGATCCTGGCTCTGTGGTAGGGGAAAGTTCAGCCAGCCATAGCTGGCAACAGGATTGTCCTGCCTGGATGCCCAACAGTGAAGGAAAAGCTGGAAAAGGCTGCCTGGGGCTTTTCTGAGTATTTGCTTGGATGGTTTGTTGTTTTTAAAGGGCTGCATAGCAGGGGCTTGAAGGGGCAGGGTCAGGTTGCTGCCTGGGATTAAAAGGACTGTACTGTCTTTTTTGTTTCAAACAACAAAAAAAAGCAACTTTCTGGGAGTTCTGTGTATCTTGTTGGGTAGTAAAAACTGTGTTACTGTTTTTGGATCCCCTCTGCCCAGGCTGCATGCTTTCAGGCCATGCATGAATTCATTGCAATGGGAGCTTTGCTACAAGAAGCAGCCCTGGCTTATCCCCAGTTGAACCAGACTCATTATGTGTTTATAAAAAGGCTAAATGTCCATGAATGCAAGTGCCAATCTGAAAAATTGGGCTGCCTCCAAATGAGCTGCAGCTGCCATTTGGGTAAATGACACAGAGCTTTGTTTTATGGTGGGGAGTGGGAAAGAGGAGGCTTGGGAAGCACTGCACTTTCTGAAGCCTGTGAAACCTGGTCAGGAGCAGTGCTTGCTTTCCATTGGACAGGATGGCCCTGAAACACAACAATCCTGGCTTGGGCCGTGCCTTATAACCCTTTTCATTAGTTCATCAGAAGCAGACAGTGTCAAAGGCCATTTTCAATTTACATCTGGTCCCTTCAAGGTATGTCTCTAATGAGGTACCTAAACCAAAGCATATTCACCCTTCTCTCTTGTCTAGTGAGTGCCGTAGCAGTGTGGGCTTCAGGTGAAGGAAGACTCCTTCTAATGAGACCATGGGGAGGGAGCAGAGAGGGCAAAGGATGATCTGTGATATTTGAAGGTAGCTGGAGAGGGAGTGATAGAGACAGGTAGGTGGTGAGTGCAGATGGCGGATAACTTGCACCGATATTTTTCCTCAGCACATGAGAGAGGAAGGGGAGGCGACTCTCCCACTGACATTTTTTGCCAAGTAGCCACCCAAAGTGAAAAACAGTCTGGATTCATCTTCTCCTGCCTTTTCCTTGAGTGTCTCTCTAATAGCTGCCCGGGATGGATTTCTAACCATGTTAATTACCTCTAATTAGCTGCAGCTTTCTGACCAGTCTTCACCTCTCCCCAGGAGGTGATGGCCCTGGTGGGAAGCAGGATGACCTGATCTGAAGCCAAGGAGCTGCTCCTGCTGCTTGTGGCCCTTTGCACATGTCTTCTTCCAGTTCTCAGTACTAGAAGTGCTTTGGGCATCTTAATATCTTTGGATACTCAAGGGAAAAGAAATGCTTTAGTTCCAATATGATATTATAATTTATTTATATTTGATAATAACTTTGGAAATATACATATAAAAATAATGGGTTTTCCACATGGGTTTCTTGTCACAGATTTCCTTCAGCAGCCTGATTCTGCTGATCTCAGCTGGAGCATTATGTGAGTTTCTGGGAGCTGTAATAGGAAAACAAACCTTGAACAGGGAGTTTAAAGTGCTCCTGTAAAGAGACAATGAAGTTTCCCTTCCCTCCTACGTTTGCTTTGTGTGCTTGAAAAAAAGATGTTTAAGAGTTTTAGGTGCATTTGGTATCTGTTAACGCAAAATCTAGGGCTTAGCTGTGATGAGATAAAAATAAATCTGGCTTTATTGTTCCTCATTTAAGCGATCACAGAAAGAGCAGACATAGCACTAATGCTCAGACATATTACTGTAAGTCAGACTTTGAAAGGAATTCTCTGCAAATTTGTTTGTGTGAAGTTTGGCACAAAGCAAATTTGAAACTTGGCATGGCAACAGCGAAGGGAAACCATTCAGAAATCCAGAGAAAGAAGTCTGGCAGCATTTCAGCATTATTTACCTTGATCTAAAATCTCACTTGTGAATACTGGGACTGAGTTAAAAATATGCTGTGCTCCTCTCTATTCTCCTCCTTCGTTAACCTGGTAGTACTCATCAACTGAAAAGCCTGTGGCTCTCATAATCCTCAAATGTCCATCACAAAAAAATATGCTAATTAAATAGGTAACGGAATAGTTGGGTGAGGGAGTGTGATTCCTGAGATGGAGTGGATGTGTCGATGGGTAATGTGAATGCTTCGTTTAATAATATTTAGCACAAATAAATTAAATTTTGGAGCAGCCATAAAAAGAATCATGTTTCAAGGCTTAAAGTTAATCTCTGTCAGTATAAGACCTTCATTGGCACAGATTATCCTGCATTTACCAATTAAGGAATTTCTTGTATTTTCTCAGGAAGAATGTTGCTGGCTGGCTTTGAAGACAGGACTGTGTCTAGACAGAGCATTTGTCTTTCTGAGGAGGCAGCCCCCACAGGTGCACTGCCCTGAGGGGATAAGGCAAAAATGGGTGCAATTCTATGAATGTAGGAGTAGGAAACATTACTTGGGGTTTAGTCATTGTGCGGGGATTTGCGAGACTGACTTAACTTAGTTTTAGGCTGCCTGTGTGGTTTTGGACAATACAGGTCATTCTTCTGTGCCTCTGCTCATCTCTTTTCAAATAAGAAAATGTCATCCTTCTTCCCACACCTTTTCAGCTGAAACACTGACCCCAAGAGGGATCAGCTCTTGCTATGGGTTGGTACAGTAAGTACTGTACAATTTTGGAAGATTGATTGAATTTGAGAATTTTCATTTTTAGCTGTAATGCTGTTGCTACTCTTGATGATACGGATGACAGCTGTAGCTTTGCATTTGCTGAAATTTATTGGTTTCAGCATTTGTTTTTATGTTTTGCCGTCTTATGTTAAAAACTACTTTTTGCACATAATAGCCTGTTTTTTTGATTCTTCAATTGTGAGGATGGATAGTAAAGACAATCAGAAATTAGCCGAAAGTGAAGTAATTGGATGATATCACTAGAATTTGAATGAAGAAATCAGGGTTAATTTATGATAAAATGCTGCTTTTGTGACATATGTTCTGTTCTATTCACACAGATTTGGCAAAAGAGGTACCACAGAGCAAGACACATCTGAAATCTCAGGAGCTGGGGAGATGCTGTCAGATATAATTTGTATCTGCTTTTTCATATCTGGAAATAAAATAAGTTATAGATGAAAAAGATGAGTTAGAGAGCAAAAGGAAATCTGGATAAGTGAATGTTTCCTAGTCATGTGCATATGAAAGCCAGAAATATAAGATAACACATAAGAAGGAACAGAAAAAAGTCCCACTATCCCAGGAAATGTATGCCTGAGAATCTGAAATGCAGATACTGCTTCAGAAAGGGAAGATTTGTGTCTGTATATACTAAGAAATCTTATGAATGAAAATGTTCTTCTGGATTTATGATACTAGCACTATTTAATGGCAGGCAACAAGTTCTTTGAAAGAAGAGCTGATGGTCTGGTTCCTGTGATGCTATAAATATACATCCCTACCCCCACCATATCCACTCCCCTGAAAAAATACAGTCAGAGAGAAAGAGCTAGAAAAGAGTATGGTCACCAATTACTCTTCCAGCTTTTACTTTCCTGGCCAGGCCACTACTGCTCTACATCTCTTCACCCCAGGATACTAGTGATTGCTCAGTCTGCCTCAGACAGCTGCAAAGTTATCATTCAGTACCTGTGATAGGGCAATTCATTTGCAGCTGCTGCTGTCCCAGTCTTTCATCCCTCTTTGCTGCTTACACCACATAGTTTAGAAATATGAATAACCCCTCCAGGAATGTGAAGCAGCCAGAGGGAATGTGTGTGTGTGTGTGTGTTTAGTTGCCCAGGTCTGTGCAGGCTTCCCTGTACAAGGCATAATGCCTGCTCATTTCTCAGCACCGCTCCTGGGCTATACCCAGTGTTGGATCAATGCACTTGACTCTGCAGGATGGCCAACAGCCTGCAAGAGCAAAGGTGGCCAAAGATTACTGCTTTTGTAACAGTATACACAATGTTACCTGGAGCTGGAATGTTTTCTCTTGCTGCACATTACTGGTTTGGTAGAGTAGGTATCTCTGCATATAAGGAAAACGGAATGGCCAGCAGGATAGTGCAATGGTATCTCAAACATGTCCAGCTAATTGTTGCCCTGTCCCTCTGAGACATTGCAAAAATACGTACGTATCTAGGTACAAAACTAACATAGCAAATGTATATATGTTTGGGATTCAATTTCTTCTGTGAAAGATACACTCAGACCTGTCAGACTGCAGTTGATTTGCAGTCTTGCTCAGGAGGGACAGTAAGCGGAGCGAGAAGTGCCTGTGGGAAGGCTCTGGCTGCAGCAAGGAGCTCAGTCCTGACTGGGCACTGGCCAGATGTCCTGATAAGGTGTGATGCTTATGGGCTTCAGCCCTGTCAAGCTCATTTTCCTGGCAGGTTGCCCTTTGTGCAGGGCTCTCCTCAGTACCCCTCCAAAGTCCACTGGTGCATTCACAGGGATGGGAGAACTCGGGCGCTGCTTCTCCTCTCATAGCTTGGGCAGTCTCCGTGGGGTTGTCCAATGCCTTTTGCAAGTGTTGCACTCATGCGCAATGTCTAAATGCATTTAATTGATCTTTATGGCTATATGCTTGTCTTCAACCTGGCACAACTGGAGGTTTAATTGGCTACCATAACACACATAAATAATAAAAATATGCCAATTAGATAAAATTATGCTTACTAATTCAGTAACTACTTTGTGTTATGTATCATGCATGAAGGTCTATGAATATTGTTGTATACTAGCTGCGCTGTCTCATGAGCCAGATATACAGATACACGTTTGGATCTCATGCTGGGGACTTGCTCTTGTGCGTCTGCTTGAAATGCCAGGCTTTAATTACAAAAGATAGAGACTTTTGATACTAGGTTACACTGCTACAAAACAGGTTTATGTGACCATTTGCAACCTTCAGATTCCTTCGCATAAAATCACTTGTCTGCATCATGCCTGTTTTCTAACCTGTAGGAAAGGTGTGATGACGGCTAGCTGTTTATAGGGGTTGGCTGAAAATGAAAGACATTTTATTTCATGTTCTCTGTTCTCCATTTTCCAGAGAAGACTAAAGGTGCTCTTGATGCCAAGCTGCTTTGAAAATCTAGCCCTTAATTTTAGCAAGTCTTTGAAGACAAAGTGTTGTTATTGTTGGTGTTTCCAGCTTTCAGCAGATCCCAAAATTTGTGATATTGTATTTCTGTCTCCCTCCAGCCAAAATAAGGCAGTGCACAGCCACCTTGTAATGAACAGAAGAGTAAGTTGCTTTGTCATACCTCTGATGAGATACCTGTATTTGATTTTGTATCAACTTAGAGACAATAATCAGGCTGTTCTTAGTTCAAAACAGTTTGTTCATCTTTAGTTGACAAACAGGACTATAAATGTTTTTTGTGATCAGCACCATGCTCTATAATCTCTTCTATTATCGAACTCCTCCATAAAAATAGCCATTTTTTTTCCCTTCATCACTTTTCATATTCTAATCCCTTTAGGGTAAGGTGATTTGACACCTAATATAGTTTTCAAGTCAGAATATATTATGAAGGCAAAATTAAGCAGTAATATTTATTCTCTGATTGCCTTTATAAACTAACACATCTTGGCACACTTAGCTTTTTTATGTCTCTGATGTGTACAAGGGATAAAAGTTATCAGTACAAATAAATGCAAAAGTCATTAAGGACGGTGTTGCAGGTGACTGTGATATTTATTTGTGTACAAATGGGGTGTGCTAAGGCTTGCAGTGTCTTTCAATAGAAATTACAGGGTGGGAGTTTGTTTTAGTATTAGCAGTTGTTTAATGCATCAAAGCCAGTGAAATCAGAGGAACTTTACAAAGACAAATATATGAGAAGCATGACAGCTAGTGAAGCTCACTGATGAATTCTAGTAAGATTGACTGGAAAGAACCACCTCAACTTCTTGTGTGTTAGTGGATTTTAAATTAATTATATTTTAACTGCTTTGGAGACAGACCCGAGAATAAATTTGTGGAGCCCAATGTAAGTGGCTGTTTTATAAATGAGAGAGGAATAGAGAGGTAATCAGCATTTCAGCTGTGTACAGAATAAAAAATAAATCAAACACTGAAAATATTATTACAATGCCATTAACATAAATCAATTGCATGCTCTATCCTCAGAATCTTTTTTCATTTCTGGTCATCCTATTTCATAAAGTCTTTAATGGATATAAAAAGAGTGCTGAGATTGACAGTGAAAAGCATTAGAGACATGTAGAGATTTTTTGTAAGATGGGAGGCGATGAACTGGGACTGCTTATGAAAAAGCTTTAGCTCCAGTAACAGGCTTAAACACTTCAGCAGAACCAAGGCAGACTGTAGGTACCAAACACTGTTCCTTGACCACCTTAACTCCTCCCTAGCCCTTAAGTCGCTCAACTCCATAAGCATGTTGGGTTTTTAATTGAAGACCCTAGAGGCTCAAAGTGCACCTTCATGTCACCTGTTGCTCCTGCTGTGGGTCACAGGAAGTCTCTCCTGCACTGAGATACATGGCAAGCAGAAATAGCTTGCCTCTATTTATGGGACAGATCTAGACTGGGGTTCTTCCCAAGACCTGCGCGTTTAGAAACGGTTGAAACACTGCAAAACACTATTTAAAAAGATGCAGCTGTCTGAAAGATTGATTGAAGGTCTTGGCCTTGACAGCGGTTCTGTGCCACATATCCCTTGGTGGAGGTGGGATTTCAAGCCTTTCGTATCAGTGCCTTATCCAAGTACCTTTGTATGGGCAGCATCCAGTGCAGCACACCAGCTAACTCTGAGGATTTTTGCCCCCTGCCCCCTCTAGAACCAATTGTTAAAATGAAGCTGCTGGTACTTCCGTATCATGCTAAAGCATTTGCCACATTAAACACATTGATTACTTAATATGAGTGAAAAAAAAGTCCTAGAAATTTCTGTAGGTAAATAGAGCATGTATCAGTTTTACTGAGCAAGCTAAATAAAGGATGTTATCTCATGCTTTACGGTATAAGTCAAACATGCAGATGCAGCAGGTTTGGGCAATGGTCCCTTTCTTGGCAGATTCCTCTGCAGTTCTGTGCCATCCCCAGAAGGACATGCACAGGCTGGTGGGACCCCCAGGCATGATGCAGCTTGGAGTTCCCATGGGCAGACTTCCTGAGGTGTTTCAGCAAAGGGAAAGGAGACACATTTTCCCTACCATTGAATTTGGGGTAGGTTCAGCCCCCTACTCACACAGGTGCTCCTGACACCTTATCCTTTCTACTTTTCCCCTTGTCAAATGTAAGAGAGAAAAGCAACAGCATTTCTGAGATGTAAATAATGTTTAATGAGTGGGCCTTGGAGTTGTAAAGGAATTCATGCACTTATGCTTAAATAATTTTGGTAGTTGATTTAAAGCCAAATCCTTCTGGCCTTACTGAGGCAATTAGCTGATTATTGCTGGAGGGATACTCACATAATTAAGGTGAGTGTTGTTTGTTCTTTATTCTATAAACCAGTTGTCTGTGCAAAAGTAGTTGACACAGCATAGTGGTGCTAAGGCAGTATGATGATGGGCACTGAGAAAAATCTTCAAACCCAGACAAAATCTGGTGCCTTTCAAAGAAGAATAGATTGACAAGCCATCTGCCTGACACTGTTCTGAGTGGAAAGCTAAAACCTGACAGCGAGAGATGTGTCCTTGCCTGTTTTCTCCTTGGGACTGCAACCGTTGTTACTTACCCAGCTTCTCCAAAAGAGGGAACCAGCTAATTAGGTCTACAATTGCCATTTATCAGAAAGAGTATCTGAAGCCTCCCAGTGATATTTTTTCCTTCTCTGCCTGCTATTTCTAAGGCACCTACCAATGTGGTACATAAGTACCATCTGGATACCTGGCTAGTCACCAGCAGGCTGTGGTATGTGAGGGGTTTTAACTAAAAACAAGAGAACAGAGAGTAGAAGGAGTAGACAAAGAGGGAAAAGAGTAGACAGCAGCATGTTTTAATGGAGGCTGAAAAAGGTATAAGTGAACTTAGAAACAAAGAGGGACAAAAAAAATCTTTTGTCCAAGATTTCCTGCTCAAAAGAGAAGTGAAGTATGTGAAATCTTCTAGGAACCTCCCTAGGTATATTTAAATTGCCTGGGAAGTGTGCTTGCAGATTAGCAGGGCTGCTGCATTGACACTAGAGATGAACTCTCACCACAGAGTAGGAAGATCTCTGCAGAGAAAACTTCTTCCTGCTCTGCTAAGAGAACCTCTGCACCTCACCCTGGGTGCCAGCACTTATTTACATTCACAGCACAGATGTGCTGGGATTTTATTAAGGAAGAGCACAGCTTTGAGATCAAGAGTCCTGGCTTCCTTCTTCCTCACCGTGAATTCAAGGAAATTTATAGTTTTTATTTGGTTCATAGGAAATCAAATAAACCTTACAACATGGGAATTTACCTTTTTGGTAGACCTTAAGAATTATGAATAGCCTAGTCCAACGTTATAGTGTGAAGACACTTGTGTCTTCTTGCTGATGATAAATTCACTCCTGCCAGTAGTTTACTGTTTGTGTTAGTACTGTCCCCCATGTGGGTGTCCATGTGTTCAGGGAATGGTGTTTCAGTTTGTCAGAATGTCTTTGTTGAGAAAACTTCTGTTGTCAAATATTGGCAATTTTCTCTGAATGATTCTGGAGCAGAGCTAGGGCTTCTGGTGTAATGACAGAATTTTGCAAGTTCTGTGATGGCTTTTGACAATCCAGGTCCCAGCAGGGAAAGACTCCTCACTTGAAACTAGTCAACTTCAGCACACAGGAAAAAGTAAAAATGAAACCCGCCTAGAAACTCAAACCTAGTTTATAAAGGGGATCCTCTCTGACTGAGCTGAATTACTGTAGATATCTCTACACAACAAGCATACTCGTGTAGGGAACCAGCTAAAGGTGGGCGTACGTAACAAAGGCATCCTGTTCACGCTTAATGCACCAGATAAATTGCTTTAAAATGCACAGTTATTTTGTGAGTTCTTAGTGAATAAGTGCATCCACATATGCATCTCTGAAGAGATTTTTAATTAATTGCTTTCAGTCATTTTCTTCCTGTAAAATTAGAACAATGATGGAATAGACGGGGTTGTGGAGTTTGGTGGGGGAAAGATTATGCTAATCTACTTGAAATACAGCTAAAACAGAAAGCAAGAAGAGATAAAAGCAATTTTTGTTTTTTTCAAAGCCTGTTTACCTGTGACAAAATCCTTCCAAATCAGCTGCCTACAAATTACTGGATTATTTTAACTAAACTCTACCAAATATGATTTTCTGTGGATTTCACAACCAGAGAGTATGTCTCGTGATGCTTTTTGCAAGATGGGAGAATACATGTTTCATGCAATTAATAATTAGGAGAGCAGCAGAGCTTTTAAAGAGCAAAGTAGCAGCAAGATCAACATCTTACATGGAAGCCAATGAATTGGGGGAATTTGTCAGAAGTTTACACTACACCCTATTGCATCAGTAACATGGTTTTTAAAAAGTGAGGGAACCTTTCAGTTGCAGATGCTCCAGTTAGTAAAATGCTATGGTTAAAAATGAACTTCTTTTGTTCCTTGCTTGGATTATTGCTTCCTGTGCCTTGAAATATGTATGCTCTGTTGAAGGAATTGAAAGATGTCCTGGTTGAAGTGATTTTTCCCCTTAGGTTTTATTCCTGAAGCTCTTATTTCCTGGATTAGTAAACTTTGCCAAATCATAGAATCACAGAGTGGTTTGGGTTGGAAGGGACCTTAAAGCTCATTCAGTGCCAAGCCCCCTGCCATGGGCAGGGACACCTTCCACTAGACCAGGTTGCTCAAAGCTCCATCCAAC